GGAGCATAACATTTACACTGTCTGCATTTTCACCTTTTTCCCTGAAGGGCCCAAAGGCATCTTACCAGGGCAACTGGATATAGGGAAAAGGGAAGTGGTCACACATCCGGGGACTCCTGAATGCTGGAACTGATTTAAGACTCGTGCCAAGAGGTCCATAACATCACTGTGACCTCTGGTAAAAGTAGGGCTTGTGAAGCTAGACAATCAATGGAAATTAGGCAAAAATCCCAACTCACAGTGATTCCAGTAGAAGCCGGAGCCCGTTTCAGATTTGTTTCCCCCTGATTGGCCCTGTGATCCACTGTTACAATCAACTGGGTACATTTCAGTTCATCATTCTTAATAATTTTTTACTAAATAAAACTTGTTTAAAAAAATCATTCTTTAAGAATGTACCCTAAATTCCTAACAGAGAATCACAGGGGAGCACCCCTTTAAAAGATCTCATGTCTATCCTTCTTTATGGCTGAGCAGTACTCCATTGTACATAACAAAACACATCCTGGGTTCAACAAGTATGGCCTAGGAAGAAGATGTTAGAGATTACAATTTAACTGAAGACCAAAAAGCAATCAAGGCCAAGGAAATGTGGCTCAACATTTCAGTGATCCTATGAGATTCCTTACCATAAGAATATTTAAGCTGTAATATTTTGTTTTAAATAATTAGTATTGCAGGTAAGACCAGAATAAAATGGACAAAATTTGAAATGAAGAAATATTTCTATCTCAACTTTAAGAAAATGTATAAAACAACTGTTTAAAATCTCAAATTGCATGGAATGATAAAAACTTATATTTTATTTTTGGAAAGGAATGTATCATGTTAACCGACTTCTCAGGGAATCCATGGTTATTTAATGACATCATAAAATTAAGGATGTTTCTCTTGCATAGCACAGGCAACATACATTTTACTGGATTGACCTGGAATTATCTGTTGTCTGGAAGATACAGAATATTGAAAATATCTCTAGCTTTCTTCTCCTCTGGCAAAGGCAATGTCAAGCAAGGGACAAATATTCCTTACTCTGGTTCCCATCCTTCTCAGATCATAATTGTAAATTA